CGTCCTATAAGGATTTTATAATGGGTTTAAAACCAAGTTTTATATTCCATACTCTATATTATACACACAAAGACTTATATCCAACACCTTTGCAGAAAGGTCCTTCTCTTGGTCCCTCCTTTGGCGTCTCATTTCATCCTTTAGCTCTAGAAACTCATTGTTCATTTTCTTATTCAAAAGGTATAGCTGCATATTTTGTTTAAATAGCTTGGCGTTGACTTGCTTGCGATACTCAATATAACTGCTGAATTCTTATCATTTTTTTTAAAAAAAAAAAAAAAATTTCAAAAAAAAAAAAAAAAAAAAGAGGAACTCCCAACTAAGAGCCAATCTAGAGATCTAAGATCAAAAAAAACAAACTTATATACCATTATCATCGCATATTTGATCGCGTGCTTGATGCTAATTGGGTGTGGGTGATCATCGATCGCGAGATCGTGACCTATAACGTGACCTGTCGAGATCTTTCACTTTCTAAATAACGTGGCAGTGGTGATAAGAACCTATTGTGAGCGCTAATACGTGAATTACGATGTTCGGCAGTATGTGATATTGATTGATGGGTGTTTTGACGTGGTGGGTTTGGTGTGGGTTGTATATCAGAATCCCGACACCCAAAATCCCGACACCCAAAATCCCGGCAACAAAATACCGATACTCAAAATCCCAACAAATTAAAATCCCGACAATATTAAAATCCCGATACACAAAATCCCGACACTCAAAATCCTGAAATTACCAAAATCCCGACACTACCAAAATCCCGATAATACAAAATCCCGATATACAAAATCCCGATACTAACAAAATCTCGGCAGTATCAAAATCCCGAAACACAGAATCCCGACACTCAAAACCCCGATACACAGAATCCCGATACTCAAAATCCATCACTCAGAATCCTGACACACGGAATCCCAATGCTCAAAATCCCGAAACACAGAATCCCGATACTAAAATCCCAAACCACAAAATCCCAATGCTCAAAATCCCGAAACATAGAATCCAGACACACAGAATCGCGATACTCAAAATCCCGAAACACAGAATCCCGAAACATGGAATCCCGATACTAAAATCCTAAACTACAGAATCCCGACACATTGAATCCCGATACACAAAATCCCGAAACTCAGAATCTCGACACTCAGAATTCAGACATTCAGAATCCCGACACTTAAAATCCTGATACAACCAAAATCCCGGCAAAATTCCAATACAGCCAAAATCCTGACACTACTAAGATCCTGATATTCAGAATCAAGTTCTCAACACCGCCAAGTTCTCGACACATAGATACACGTAAAGTGGGTAAATAAGATATTTATTACTAATAAACCCAAACTATTAAATAATCTATCATATATGATATAAATTAAAACTTTAACTATTAATTCACGGTTGACATGCTCAAACACACTGCAAGAACCGACCAAATTTAAATATTAAGGCTGGACCTTCTTGTTAAAGGGCTTGTACCTATTCAAATTAAACAGTTAAAAATAAAAGCTTATTTAAATCCAACGTAATAAAATAGTTTTAGACGAAAACATTTCTGGTTACCTTCACTCTACAGTATAATTTGATATGGTCCAATAAACGGTAGGCATATTTTGCCTTCTAAGTAAAGTTTGTGGGGATACTGATTATTACTGATTATTTTTGCATAGTGAATATAGACGTTCTATCGAAGCGAAAAATAGCTTTTACGGTGATTTTTTGTTGGTGAAACTAAAAAGTATAAATAAGTTACCCGGGCAATTGATTTACATCAGCCAATCAGACGAATGTCCTCCTATGACTACACTACATATAGCAATGCGTGATACTATTTATAGTTTAGACGTTCAAATAATTTGAGTAATATCACTAAACTTTAATCTAAGGTGATTCTTCAATGGCTTAATTATATTTGCTCAACAAATCGGTATTCAGTTAAATCCCAAATGGATAATTACCAACTTTGAAAGAGCAGCTATTAATGCGAATTTCCTAACGTGGTAAACAAGGGATGTTTTTTTCACCTATGCCAAAGTGGATGGCATAAGGTTCAGAAGTCTGGTTTAGTTACTAAATATGGAAGTGATTTTTTTTTTAGCCGCATGATTCGGCATTTATTTGCCCTGGCATTACTGCCAGCGGACCAAATTCAAGATGCATTTGATACCCTAATGGTAAGTATGCCTCCAGAGGCAAGTAAAGTGACTCAATGGTTTGAAAAAACTTATATTGGGATACGGCAAGATGATACAATGGACCGCAACTTACCATTATTTCATCCACAACTATGGTCGGTTTATGAATCAGTAGAGCTGGGCATTCCACGGACGCAAAACTCCGTGGAAGCCTGGCACAATAGGTGGAATACTATAGTTGGAAGGCCAAATGTAAGTGTATATATGTTGATAGAGGAATTACAAAAGGAACAGCAGAATGTTGACGATCAAGTTGTGCGCATTCTCCAAGGAGAGTCGAGACCCAGACCAAATCAATATTATATTGAAAAGGAGAAAAGAATCATGGCTATTTTTAATGACCATAAAAATCGGCCAGTTATAGA